TATATATATATATATAGCAATTTCGTCCTTTAAATCTATGCATGAAATTATATACTTAACTTTTAAAAGCTTAATAATGCTAATTTGATGTGATATTAGAAATTTGAGTGCCACACGGGTAAATAAATAAGCCTTGATGTGTGACATGTAACTACGATTGAACGGTGTGCTATGTATGCTACCATCCCTTTTTAATTTGAATTTGTATTTTTCTTACCAAAAAATATTTTAAATTTCATGTTATTTATCTCAAGATAAATGTCTAACAACAAAATTTGTTAATGGTATGTAAATCTCCATGAGCTTTCTTGAGGATTATCCAAGGTGACTAGGCCAGCATTTGCATCTTGCGGGTGAGAGGAAATAAAGGAGCGATCTTGGCGGGCTTTCGCTTTCCTTCTCATCTCTATCCTTTCTGCCGCCGCCTCTGGTTTCAATCTATCAAAGCTTCCACTGTTACGCACAACAGACCCAAAAAGCTTGAGAGGAAATAAAGGAGCGATCTTGGCGGGCTTTCCCTTTCCTTCTCATCTCTATCCTTTCTGCCGCCGCCGCTGGTTTCAACCTATCAAAGCTTCCACTGTTACGCACAACTGACCCAAAAAGCTCTCTTTTAGCCCTCCAAAAATTCCACCTTTCCTCTTCGTCTTCATCACTTCTTCCATCATTTCCTTCTATCTCCTTGTTTCAGTCGCTTCATTTCGTCTTTCTGCTCTTTTTACTCCAAAAACACGGAAATTCGTCTCCTCTCTTCATGGAGGAGGCAGGGGAAACGATGCGGCTTTTGTGTGAATTAGAGAGAGCAGAAACGGAAGAGAATATAAAATCAAGTTTTCATTTTGGTTTCCAGATTTGTTTTTGTTTTCATTTTCGTTTTGTTGTTTGAGCTTCACTGTCGATGGAAACAATGGCGGGAAGAAGGAGAGATGTGCAGCATCTGGTTCTAAAACTTGGAATTGCTTTGGCTCTATCGGTGGCTGGTTATTTTGCCGCCCAATTCCGCTTCCGGCACCGGCCTCCCTCTTCTTCGTCTTCCTCAGGTTCATCACTCTATAACCATTTTATGGGCTTGGTTAAGTACTTTTTGGGGTGCTTTCTCGGAGGGCGGGTGATGTGACGGCCGATGGTTGGCAGTTTAAATGGTGCGAATGTCCGGACAAAATATTTCTTCACATTCTTGTGAGAAAATGAAAAAAAAAGACAATTTTATTTTTATAAATGTGGGAGTATATAATTTAAATGAATAATGTTGGACAAATTTCTTTTCCTTCTTCAAAGTTTTGATGTGAATTGCTTTCACGCTCTAAAAACATAAAAATTAAATAGGTGAGGTTAGTAAAAAATCATTTTATTTGTAAGAAATTAATAGAGGACATTAGGGTTGGAACTAATTAGCTTTAGAGTAATTAAGATTTCAAACGAAAGAGTGACATTAAGGAGAAGTAATATGAAGAGAATATATATGATTCAAATATGTCCTACATCCCATAATATTTCTTTTATGATGTTCTAATTAGCCTTAGACAATGAGCTTTCATACAAAGAATATTGGCTTTTGATTAGTTGGCTAAGGATACATTAGAACTTTACAGAGTGATGTGCCTTTCATTTCATCTATTAGTAGCAGGAGAGTACACACTAAGGAAAATGGTTCATCTCAATTAACATTAGGCAAAACATGCTTTGAGTGTATTATTAAAAAAACAGTGTGGTGTAAATAGCTTTTTGGAAGCATTTTTATCTAGTTGATAGGAAGATATCAACAAGGCTCATTAGTTAGGTATCTTAAAAATATAAAATAGATGGAAAAGAAATTAGCATCAACCAACCTCTAAATTGTTGGTGGGATGCTAGGAGTCATCCATTAGAAAATCGTCAAACACTATAGGAGATGATGATTAGAAGATAAGATATTAGTTGTGGGGTAGTTAATAATGATTTTTAAGAAAGGCAAAAGCCATAAGTAAGAACACGAAAGGAATCCATGAAACAAGATGCTCCATTTTGGAGATTCATACAAGTATATTATGCCTGTCAAAATGCTAACATGTTGGTCTGAATAGGTTCATGGGGTGCTAAAGTAGCATTGGCTTGAGATGCCAATCAAAACTAAGGGAATAAAGCAACAAAAGTTAAGGGCACTTGTAGATATAAAAAAGGTAAGCAACATGTTGAAAGATGATTAGCTTGTTTCAAGAAAAAGATACTAACAAAAGTGCTTTAAAGGGTTGTTAGATCAAGTGAATATTCAAGTTTTAGCTACTTTAACAAGATACTTTAGCTTGGTGAGGAGGAAAGCATATTTAGAGATAGTGTCCATAAACTAGTTTCCATGCCTAAGCAAATTATGCTAATATAGGAGATGTAAAAGAGTTCCAATTTGAAATCAATCAACAAGCATCAATGGTAAAAAAAAGTTGCTATGGGGTGTGACATTGATAAAATTTGAAGCGCTTATAGGAAGCTAAGAGTCCATGTAGAAAACATGATTTTTTTTTCAAAAGTTAACAAGCAACTACAATGGAGATGTTTATTATGGAATTACTGTGAAAATGATCGATAGATACAAGTTGCATATGTGGATAACTGAGCCGCGTGCTAAATTGAGTGGTCGAGTTTGGATGGCCCTTGAGAGTTAGTAACACATTGAGCCCTTTAGAGATGTATATAGATATATAAGAATTGAGCGATATTTATATGAAGAGAGGAACTGTCTAAGATATGTATGCAAGGAGGAATCATCTAAAGTAGTGATTAAAAAGGCAAAAGGTGAATATAAGAATTGCCAAAAGCTTCAAGAGAGCATATCCAAAGATTGCATAAACTCGAAAGGCGCATAATTAAAAAGGTGTTTATTTACTCGCTCGTGCACGCACACGCACATGCACACGAGCGCACACACACACTCGCAAAATAAATATATAGTCATATCGAGGTTCTAGCAAAATATGTAAGAGTGGCAAGCAAATAGAAAATCATAGTAGATATATCCATGAGGCAAAAAGAAAATATATTGAATGTAGGTTTCATCCAAAATCATGTGGCAAAAATGCAGGAGCACATGATATGAAAATTATTCTAAATATAATTGCAAAACACTTTGAGTCAAAATCAACATTTTTGTTGGATAGTGAATTAGATATTTACTACTATTGTATCAATAGGAGTATTAGCATAGATGTGTGTTAGAAAATTTGCGGCAATAGAGTATAAGATTATCGTCTTAGCGTGATACGAAGATCCAACGTAGTAGGCGAGTAACGGGGTCTTCTTTCGTGTTTCGCCAAAGAGGAATGTCATCACCGCTCTGCATAGCAGGCGAGCAATGAGATATTCATTCGTGTTGTGACTAAGGGAAAAGTCATACTCGCCTTCGGTGGCATGCAAGCAAAGGGATCTCGTTTCACTTTAAGATGAAAAGGAAAATTATCCCCGTCTTACACAACATACGAGCAATAAGATCTTCTTCACGTTGTAGCTAAGAGGAAATTATTTCTCGTCATGCGTGGTAGGAAAACAATGAAATCTTATTTCACGTTGAGGTGAAGAGGAAAGTCACCCCTGTCATGCGTAGTATGTGAGTAACGAGATCTTATTTCACGTTTTGAAAATGTTGACAATTGGAGAACCTTGTGCCACTGAGAACTAGAGGAAGGGTTAGAATGTGGAGGATGCGGAGTCAATGCTGACAGAGAGCAACTTGATTTTGTTTCGAATGAAGTATTACTTCCCGAACGACATAGTTATGAAATTGCTGACTAGAGAAAATGATTGCTTCCGCATTCGTGCCAATTGATGGAATTTTGTTGATGACGTATCAACTATTACTAAAATTGTACAATTCCTTTCAATTAAAGTAATAAGTTGTGATGTGAATATGTAGAAGAAATCTATATTAATCTTAAAGGGAAGATAATCCACATGAAAAGAATACTTGGAAAAACCCATATGGAAAAAGTTCGCAACACATACAGTTTTAAGCACAACAAGAGACATTGGATATTTACAGTTTTACGTGGTCCACAGCTTGTGCCCACCACTACGGTCTACAGTATCATCAACCCACAAATCCAGCCTCTGCGACCTACATACATGATCACAACATACTATAATGACCTACGTGATCAACTACGACCTATATGACCCACAACTCGTGCAGCTCGCAACTTCGACCCCTAAGACCTACAGACACCATCACAACACACTGCTATGCCCTACATGACCGATTATGACCTACTTGGTCCACAACTCGTGCAGCTCACAGCTCCAACCTCTACGACCTATGAAAGTATTCACATCTCACCACTACTGCCCACTTGATCAACTGTACCCTACGTCGTCTACAACTCGTGCATCTCCCAACAATGAGCCCTACGACCTATGAATGCCATCACAACTCAACATTACGATCTATATAGTTCACAGCTCATGCAGCTCCCGACTCCCGCCTCAACCTACGAACATCATCGCAGCCCACCACTATGGTCTACGTGACCGACTACGACCTATGAGGTCCCATCTTATGCAACACTTGTACGACCCAGGTGATCGACTACGACTTATGTGGTCCACAACTCATGTAACTCTCGATTTGAACATTTTGCGGCTTATGTACGTTGTCACAACACATCAATATGATCTATATGACAAACATCGATCTACGTGATCCAAATCTCATGCATTTCCCAAATCTGACCCCTGTGGCCTTTGGTTGTTAACGCAACTCAACACTACCGCCTATGTGACCAACTGGGGCCTATGTGGCTCACAGCTTCTACAACTTTCTATTACGACCTCAGTTGCTCCTGAAGCAACCGTCTGCAACCCACATTATCAATCACTATCATGACTTTCAACTACAGCCTACATGACAAGCTAGTGATACATATATCATCGACAACTTTCACCATGAACTTCTATTTCCATAGCAATCTTCTTCGGTCTCTGTAGCCCACAATCACCGATAATTACAACTAAACAACATCTATTATCTATGAACTAAAATTGTACATTTACAATGATCTTCCCCAATTTAGGAGAAGAGCGAACATGTGTACTCATATATTGATTGTTTCAATTGGGCTAGACCCTGTGTGCTTTTCACTTTATAGGGTTTGACACATAAAAATCAATGTGTCTCATCCTGCTTACTTCTCTTTTATTATCTGAGTGTGCGTTGGAGTTTCGTACAACACTAAGACACTAAATAAATACTCTACCACCTCAGACGTTCCGGCATGCATCAAACAATCACTTATTTTACACAAATTGAATAAAAAAAATACATATTAAAAGTTATTTTCTTACAATTAAATAATATAAAAAAAGTACTAATAAATTAATTCATTAAAACTAAAAAAAAGAAAATGAATTGCATTAAATTACTTTACATATTCACCAATTAGAATTTAAATAATTTTAAATAGCAAAGAAACTCCACTTAATTAAATTCTATTATATATCATATATGAATATATGATATGAGATCATCAAATTTAATATAAAATATTTAATAAATTATTTATTAAATTATAAAATAAATAAATTCATGCATATAAATAAATAAATGGGCTATGTTCTTTATTAACTCGTTTAAATTTCAAGTTATTAAAAAATGTTTTGAGTTAATTTATTTATTAATTTAAATAAATGTGATCGTATTATTTATTTATCAATTTAAAATAAACATGATTGTGTTTTAATGGAGTGCACTGGTTCCTTTATAGCCGTAGTCATTAACCCCTTGATGCAATGATTTTACTTCCTAATCTCAGCTTTGGAGCCAGAATCTAGCAGCAAATCAACCAACGATGTCGAGCTCAAGGACGACCTCCGTATTCAAAGATGGGTATGGTCTGCTGTTCGTCCACAGATTCTGAGCACTTTTCAAATTTTGCCCAATTTCTGAATTCTTATGATTAGGGTTTCAGGAAGGGGACTTATCTAAGTTCATCGATGACAGCTCAACGATCACCACCATCGCAAAGACAGCGGTGGGCGACCCACCCGGCAGCCGGAGCACTGATGACGAAGAAGGCTTTCTGCATCCCGAAATCAACAAGCCTGGTTTCAAAGACATGGAGCTATCACTCAAAGACCCGGAAATCACAACTTCAACTTCCACAACGAGAAGATCCAGCACTAGAGAAGATGATTCATCAATGGAGCAAGAAATATCCCATCTCAAGAACTTGGTTTTCTTTCTCCGAGAGAGGGAGAGGAAGCTCGAGCTCCAGCTCCAGCTCCAGCTCATCGAGTATTGCGGAATGCAGGAGCGAGAAGCTGCCCTGAGGGAGCTAGAGAGCCAGCTGAAGATTAATAACATGGAGGCGAAGCTGTTCGGGCTAAAGGTTGAATCGTTGCAGTCGGAGAACCAAAGGCTACAAGCCCTAGTTTTGGTTCATTCGAAAGTGGGGAGTGAGCTTGAGGCGGCTAAGGGGAGGAATACGGTTCTAAAGAGGAGGAACAAGTTTAATGGGGAGCAGGAAAGGGAGAAGATTTCTTCGCTTCAGCAGACGATTTGCGTGTCTCAGGCCAAGGGCCAGAAGCATGGGAGGGATGATTTGGAGATAGAGAGGAAGTTGAAGAGATTGAAGGAGTTGGAAGAGGAAAATGAGAGTTTGTGGAGGATGAATTTTGGCCTTGTTCAAGAAAATTTTGAGTTGAATGGGAACTTGGATTCAGCACAGAAGAACTTCAACTCAGTCATTGAATGTCGCAAGGTATTCACGCTCCCTTTTTATTTTTAACTGATTTTTTGCCATCCATTGTTCAAAAACAGATTAGAAATGTATTTTGTAATATATAAACTAATAGAAGAAGATGGAGCGCCGCAAACAGCTGGTTGCTGTACCCAAGAAGCAAGAAGAGATGCGAAGAAGGGAAGTGCAGGAGAGAAATTAGAATATGGAGAAGAGAGCTCAGCCAATCTTATACACCCGTAATACACAATAACACCAATACAGGGAGCCTATTTATATAAACATGACCTGTTCAGCCAAACAAAAGGCCAGAAACAAAAAACAGAAACAAGCTTTATGAACCTAACATTAATACTGCTCCTCAAGTTGATGGTTCACGGAGGAAGTATGAGCTTTTTGTATAAGTTGTTGAATCTGTTGGAGCTAAGGGCGTTGATAAAAATGTTAGCCAGTTGATCGGTGGTTGATATGTGATGAACCATGATATGTTTGTTGGTGATGCAAAACCGATTGAAGTGAACGTTGATCTAAATGTGTTTGGTTCTTGCGTGAAAAACTAGATTATTAGCGAGTGCTAGAGCTAAAATACTATCACAGTGGAGTGGCATTGGTTCTATGAAGGGGATTTTAAAGTCCTGAAGAAGTTTCCTTAACCAGATAATGCCGGCTGCTGTAGCGCTTGGTATTTAGCTTCTGTGGAGGAGTGGGCCTCAATAGTTTGTTTCTTGGTATACAAGAAGATGAGAGTTGTGCCAAGAAAGGCACAAAACCTGGTGTTGGATTTGTGATTTGCCTGACCTTCTGCCCAATCAGAGTCGGAGAACGGCTAGAATTGTAAGTTACCGCAATATATTAGTAAACCTTCGTCGCCGGATCCTTTTATGTATTGTAGTAGCCATTTCAATTGAATGAAGTGTTTCTTGAGATGTTGACACAATTTGTGGAATGAAAAAGTTATGTTGGGTTAGGTGAGCGTAAGATATTGGTGCGAACCGACGAGGTGTCTGTAAAGCTGAGGATTGTTGTATAGTTCTTCATCGGTGGTAGTCGTTGTGACCTTAGTGGAAATGGGAGTTGCAATCGGCCTGCATGCCTACATTCCAACCTTCGTTAATATAACTTAGACACATTTGGACTGACAGAGGTATAATCCGATGGAGGTGTGATCTATCTGGATGCTGAGGAAGGTACCTGCCTTAGCAAGATTTTTTACTTAAAAATGATATTGTAATTGATTGATAATATGAGTCAAAAAGTTGGACTTTCTTTCTATAATTAGGATATCGTCAACATATATCAAAATGTAGCTTTTCGGATTGGATTGGTAGATACCACAAGGGAGGGATCAACGTGGCTTAGTTGAAAGCCGAGAGATTGTAAGGTGGAGTTGAGAGTAAAGTGTTATTGTCTTGGAAGCGGACATGGGCTAGTTTGTTAGAATTTTTGAAGCCAATAGGTTGCAACATGAAGATTGTCTCACAGAGCAGATCGATGAGGAAGGCATTAGATACATCTAGCTGAATTATTTCCCTTTGTTTTGAGTTGGCCACAGTGAGAAGGGTGCATATAGTGAGAAATTTGGCAAAGGGGCTAAAAGTCTGATCATAATCGATACCATGCTGTTGTTTATAACCCTGTGTCACAAGTTTTGTCTTGTGATGGAGAATGTTCCCATCTGAATTTCGCTTTATTTTGTACGCCAATTTACAATCAAGGACATTTTGTGATGGTGGAGTGATTGAAATCCAAGTTCCTTGGGACAGAAGGGTTTGGAATTCCTCAGGCATTGCTTTGCGCCAATGTATGTGCTTTGCAATCTCGTGATAGGAGGTTGGATCCTTGGGGGTATCGGTAAGAGTATGTTGCAACTTGAATATGGCTTTGGGCTTTAGATGTCCGATTTTGTCATGGGTGAGCATGGTGTGGATGTTGGGTTAGGGTTGTTTTTGGCTTGAAGGGATTTTGAGAAAGGAGGGGTGGGAGGATAATAATGATTGTTATGTGAACTGTTGTAGGTAAGAGTGGTTGGGTTTCGGTGAGGTGAGTTGAGGCATTGGGAAAGCAGAGGTACGGTAGGAGGTTGTGATGCTGAGATGGGAGTTACGGTATTATGGTTGTGTTTTGGCAAGGTGGGAACTAAGGTTAGAGGCGGTATGCGTTCGTAGGGTTTAGTGGTGGTAATGATTTTGGGTATGGAAGGGGGAGTGATTGGTTATTGTCGATGGTTATATGTTGGTGACCATTGTATGGCTGACATAATATATTTTTGGTTTGCGAATAAGCGCTAGGTGGCGCCTGCATCAAGTAGCCATTCAGTACCTTGAGCGGCTGAGTTGGCTACCATGACAGATTGTGATGGAGAAGGAACTTTGTAGGATGGATCGATGCGATAATAGTATTTGATTGTCAAGTGATCTGGTTTAGAGCTGATTTATCATGTAAGAGGGCTGCTTTGTTTGGGATTATGGGTGCTGGAGAGATTTGGAGTGGCAACATTGGATCTGCCCAGTGAATTGAAGGACCGAAGGCGGGGTGCTGGCAGGCGGCTGGACACGACAGACGAAGGCGATGGATGGCCGACGACGAACGATCAGTGGCTATATCGACGACAATGGCGGACTAGGGGGGGGTGGCGGTTGCAGACTACCTCTAAGGGCGACAGGCGTCACCAGGGGATGGTTAGCGGTGGCAGACGACAGCCTGGGGCGACGGACAAACGATAATGAACGACTGACGACGACTGGGGCAACAACAAACGATGAGTGGTGATGGGGACAACAACAGACGGCCAACGACGACTTGCTTATAATATTTTACGGTGTAACTTAAATTTGACTAAATCGTCTGGATTCTAAATTTAGCCAAAATGAACTAAGGGATGAACTTCAAATTCATTCATTCTTTACATTATTTTTGTAATTCTTCATGCCCAACAAATAATTTCTTAAAATTCTCATAAAAAAAATTACAATGCAAATTCTCCCAACTAAAAAACCTCTAAAGCACTTAGAAACATAATTAATGACTTCTTAAAGTTTTTTTAGGGCTAGTTATTTTTAATTTTGTATGCTTATAGTTAAAATGAATATCTTAACGTGGAGATTTTGAAAAGTGTAAGATAACTCAATTTTGAGCTGAAAGCTTTGAGATGTTTCAGAGAACTTGAAATGATCAGGGAGCTTTCTTTACACTATTTTCATGGATTGTCCCAATTTTTTCACAACAATTACTAAAATATATCCTTAAAAATCTTTAAGTAGGTCTTATTCCTACATATTTGAGATAGGTTTTGTTGAGATTTGTATCTAAATTAGAGTCCTGATTGTAAATAGGAAATATAGAAGTCTATGAAGTTATTTGTAAAATGTTTTAAAGTCCTATATAAGCCCAAATGATTAATGAATGGAACAAGTTTTTCAAGAAAAATTACTTTCTTTTTGGTATCGAAGCTTAACCTAGTCACATTTCTCTTCATTCCCCTTTGTCTTCGCGTAGCTGGATGAAGCTGCCACGAGATCACAAATAGGTCCGCGACTGGAGCTACGGGATCGGGAAGAAGCAGCCTCTTTGGGCCACAACTAGAGTGGGGGGATCACGGTTTAAGTTTTGCAATACAGTCGCAAGGGTGGCCGCGAAGCTAATTGGGAAGACACCGACGAAATCGCGACGAGGAACAAGAGATAGTCACAGTTGGAGTTCCCTATGTGCGTGATCCAGAGTTTGCTACGAAACTAGAGAAGGGGCGATGGGTTCGAGAGTCCTTTGTGGCTGGATTTGCGAGACGAGGAAGAGGAGACGTCGGGGGTAAAAGCTAGTGAGATAAGGAATAGGCAAAGCTTAATTTATGTGTCGCGATCCTACTCCTATTGCGAAACCAGAGAAGCAACTTCTATATGAACTACAGAGACTGAAGCGAAGGATTTCAAATCGATGAAAGCTTTCTTCGAACAGGAGAGGTGCAACCTTCTTGTGATTGAGGATGATGGGAGATACAAATAGTGTGGGAGGCAAAGGAGTGGAACTTTTGTGAAAGATAGATCTTGAAGTTCTGAAGGTCTTAGTCAGGCTCATACAGTGAGCTGACGTCTCAATTGGAGCCACTACCTCAGCACGTGTTTCGACGTAAGTGAAGCTAGATCTCCCTCATGGGGATCTGAAGCTTGATAGACTGACCATGTTTCTGAGCTGGTCACATTTGATCGAGGCAGCGTTAGTAGGGAAGAGACTAGAGGGATATCTGATGGGAGTCAAGGTTGAGTTAGGTATGATAGTTGCTCAGGGAGAAACCCGTAGTTGCTACAACTGTGGAGAAGTGGGACACTTGAGCAAGGCCTGTCCAAAGCCACCCAAGGAGAGAGATAGATAGATGTGGACAATTTAGAGGTCGTGGTCGTAGTCATGGAGGCCAAAAAGGTGGGAAAGGGGGTACCGGGCAAATTTGATGATATTGGAGGACGAGAGATCGACTGGTGGTCTTTACTGATAAGGATCACGAGCTTCTTGAGATGTTGAAGAGGATGCATAGAGCGAAAGGTGATATGACTGAGGATACATCCATCTTATCGTCATTCAAGGGCAACATTGCTACTGATGCTCACCCAGCCAAAGGTACTTGTGATACATATTCTCTTGTCTCTATATCCACCATAAGAACACCAGAGTGATTAGTAGATTCTAGTGCATCTCAACATGTGACAGGTAATGCCAGGGAGCTCTCTTCCTATACTCATTTAGCAGTTTCAGAGAACATTCAGACTAACGATTGTATAAAACAACATGAAGTTGGTAAGGTTACAATGAGGGGTACCAATTCTTCGATTTTATTTAATGTTTTGTATGCTCCTTCCTTTCCAATCAACTTTTTACCCATTAGTGTTATTATTCTTCAACTAAAACGTGTTGTTTCATTTGATATTCTTAAAGTGATCTTTCAAGAGAAGGGGACTGACACTTGGCATGACAAACTCTAGAACTTGGATAGAGAGGGGATGAACTCAGCTCTGACATCCATGATAGAGGGATCTGGGAAGAGCGTGCAGGATGTGATGTTGCTACATCACAAACACATGGACCATTTAGTCTATTGAGTCGTCGTCGTTGTATGAAAAGACAAATAAACAAAAATTTTTATGTGATGTTTGTGAGTTTGGTAAGCATACTAGGAGTTCTTATGTGAGTGTTGGCAAAAGGACTCATTGTGCCTTCTATTTGGTGCATTCAGATGCATGAGAATATTTTTCTACAACTTTGATTAATTGTTATAGATACTTTGCGACTTTCATTAATTGTTTTTCTCATGTTACTTGACTATATCTGATGAGGAGCAAAAGTGATGTGATTGCTTGCTTTAAAGACTATAATAGGGCGATTCAGATCTAATATGGTGCAGTAGTGAAGATATTAAGGTCTGATAATTGGACAGTATACCAATAGGACAATTGAGAAGTACCTGTCAGCCCAAGGGATACAACATCAAACCGCATGTCCATACACACCGGCACAAAATGAAGTAGTAGAGAGGAAAAATGGATGCATTCTAGAGGTAGCCCAAATCATGATGATCTCGATGAATGTCTTTAAGCACTAGTCGTGGCAAGCATTTTAATAATCGCTCAATTGATCAACAAAATACACTTAAGAGTGTTGAAGTGACAATCTTCTTATGAGTTGTTGAAAGAAGATAATGACAAGATTCTTCTATTGAAATTATTTGGTTGTGTATGTTTTGTGAAAGATAATAAACCATCAATAGAGAAGTTGGATCTTAAAACTGTGAAAGTGTGTTTTTTGGGTTATTCTGCTATTCAAAGGGACATATTTGTTGGAGCCCAATAGATAAGAGATTATTTGTGAGTTTGGATTAGACTTTTAGAGAGTTCTCCTTGGTGGTGATTTCACCGTTTGGTGACTTGTCATATACTGAAGGTATGATGCGAGAGGGGGAGAGTAGTGATGGTGAGAGATTGATACATGTGGAAACGATTCATTGTCCCGTTGTGTGGGAGGAACCTGCTAAGAAAGGGCCAGACAATGAAAGAAATGAAGCTGGGGAAGAGCCGAATAATGATAAAAATGAGCCCGAATGTTGTGGGATTCAAGCTCAAGGGGAGCTAAAAGTGTATACGAGGAGGCAAAATTAGGGATAGTGTCCACTGTGCCACTTGTGTCATTAAATCCCTTGTCCCAGTTTACCCTAACTCTTGATACACTTGCATCATCCAACTCAGAATCAAATTACATAGGTGATATGATTCCCCTTCCTTCTCCTCCCACTCTCATGACTTTAAGGACCTCTCGTTCCCCTTCCTTCTCCTCCCACTCTCATGACTTTAAGAAGGACCTCTCGCAATAATGCGGGTCATCTACTGATAGTTATTCACCTGATTGTTTTTGTTTCTCACATGACATTGTTCAGTTTGTCTCATACTCTAACATATCACTTGTATATGGAGTATTCATTGCATCTTTGGACACTGTCTCTATACTCAAATGTTGGTAGGTAGTTAAGGATGATTCAAAATGGAAGGCTGCCATGTTAGAGGAACTTGGTGCTCTCGAGAAGAATAAGACATGGGAGCTCGTGTTTCTACCAACAGAGAAAAATGTTGTCTGGTGTAAATGGGTCTTCACAGTGAAGCTAACCTTCGAAGGAAAAACTGATTGCTGCAAAACATAGTTGGTGACTAAAGAGTATGGTCAGACATATGACATCGACTATGATGAGACATTTGTACCAATGACAAAGATGAACAGTCAGGACTCTTATATATCTTGCTGTGAATGGTGGATAGAGGTTACACCAATTAGATGTGAAGAATGTGTTTCTGCATGTGGATTTGTTGGATGAGGGTACAAACCAAACAACGCGCAATGTATGTAAAGTGAATAAGTCATTGTATGTTTTGAAACATTCTCCCCGAGCTTGGTTTGACGGGTTCAGAAGAGCAATGGTAGGTACGAGCTATCGGTAGATCAATGCCGTCCACACAGTGCTCGTTTGATGAAATGGTGGTCACACAACTATACTTGTTGTGTATGTGGATGATATGATAATCACAAATGATGATGAGGGAGAGATTGCGATGTAAAGACAAGATTGTGCAAAGAGTTCGAGACAAAGGTTCTGGGACAACTTAGATACTTCCTTGAGATTGAGGTGGCTTGTGGAGCAAAGGGTATTGTACCATCTTAAAGGATGTATGTGCTAGACTTGCTCACAGAGATAGGTATGTTGGGATGCAAGCCTGCAGTTTCACCAATTGATCAAAAAAGAAAGTTGAGTGTAGAGTCAGGGGAGCCAGTTGATCAAGAGAGATACCAAAGCTTGGTTGCTCGTCTCATCTAATTGAGGCACTCGTCCCGACATATCATTTGCAGTAAGAATGACGAGTTGCTACATGCATGATTTGAGGAAGGGCCACATGGATGCTGTGTATCAGATTTTGAGGTACCTGAGAAGTGCACCAGGAAAGAGGTTAATCTTCCAAAAGAATGTCATGTAGGCATTGTGGGCTATTGTGGCTCTGACTGGGCGAGTTGTGCTGATGACAGGAGGTTCACATCTGGATACTGTATGTTTCTAGGGGGCACTTGGTCTCTTGGAAGAGTAAGAAACAATCGGTAGTAGCGAGGTCAACAATAGAGGCAGAGTATAGGGCTATGGCCTTAGAAGTTGTCGAGATGATGTGGCTGAGAACCTTATTGGTAGAGCTCAAGGTGAACCAAGAAGTTCAAATGAAGTTGTGGTGCGATAATATGTCAACAATCAGCATTGCCAACAACCAGGTGCAACACGATAGAACTAAACATGTGGAGATTGATAGGTTCTTCATCAAGGAAAAGCTGAATAACGGATTACTGGAGCTACATCATGTAGCTACTAGAGAGCAAGTGCCCGACTATCTCACAAAAGGACTTAGCTCATTAGATTTGTTTAAGTTATGTGACAGGATGGGTTTAGTGGATATCTTTTGCCTATCTATCTTGAGAGGGAGTTTTGAGATTTATATCTAGTTTAGAGTCCTAATTGTAAATAGAAAATATAGAAGAAATCTTGGAGTTATTTGTAAAATGTTGTGAGGCCCTATATAAGCCTAAGTGCTTAATGAATAGAACAAAAGTTTTTCAAGAACATTTGCTTTTGTTTTGTAGTAGAGATTATTTTACTCGAGAATTCTATGACTCTATCGTTTGGAACTCGGAATGTGTGCCTTCAGGATGACTCATTTGGAATCTTGAATTGGTGCCTTTGGGATTTCGCGTGTCCAAGTTTCTCCTCCCGCTTTCCCTGTTTACTTTGTCTTTCCTCCATCTAGAAAGACAATCAAGTTAACCACATTCTAGCACTTGAATTCTGACGTCGGCTTTCTTCATTGTCATTAATCAATGCTGATTATCATTATTGATTGTCTTCCAACACCCATCATTCACCAATCTGACAAACATTGTTGCCACTCTTCTGAGTCTTGCCATCAATTGAAGGTGCCATTCACCATCGCCCATTGATGCTTGGCATTGCTTATTCTTATCCGTCAAAACTTGCTACCACCGTGAAGCAACTCTAACTTTTGTCTCCTCTTTTCTTACAGTGCCGGCAAAAGAGAACCCTTATAGTTCAAGCCTTGTAATCCTTACTCCACAGTAAGGGTCATTAATATTTTATTGGCGTTTATTAAGATAATTAGCTTTGAACTAATTAATTATTAAAAGATCATTAAGCTTTTTTATAAATCTTAATTGCAATTAGCACCTCTTGGATAATAAACTGTTTTTTTTGTTAGGAGCTTGCCAATTAAATATTTATGCTAATTATCAATTAGTTAGGATTAGAATCTAATTGAGATTATTAAGATTTTATTAGTATTATATTATAACAATCTCTTATCTAAGATAAAAAATTAATAAATGCATGCATGCATATATATAATATTGATGACTAAAACAAGTTATTGGTGATTATGATTGTAAATTTAATTAATGAAGGTTTGATTTGTATTTGTGATTATAATTCATACTTAATTATCAATTAAATAAACTTAATTAAATCCCTAGTGAAGAAAAAGCAAAAATAAGGTGAGTACAAAACAGATCCAAATATGGCTCTGGTTTTACATCATGGATATCTGTAATACATAGTATCCATCCTATTTGTCTGTCGCTTATCCATAGTTTTCTAAGAAAAACAACTTATTGCAATTTTCTATTCTCACTTAGCATGTTTCCCTCAAAGGCTTTCCATGAGATTTTTCTTCATATGATTTGCAGGCTGAAGAATTAGAGGAAGTCCAGAACCTGAAGCAATCCAATTACCAGCTTTTAAAGGAGATTGAGAAGCTCCAGCAAAGTCAGTGCGCAGATTTAGAAGAGTTGGTTTATCTCAGATGGGTCAATGCCTGCCTAAGATATGAGCTGAGAAATTACCAGCCTGCACATGGAAAAGTTGTTGCAAGAGATGTAAGCAAGTGTTTGTACCCCATATCTGACGAGAATGGCAAGCATCTCTTTCGAGAGTCAGACGATGTTTTCGTAGAAATTTCGTCGAACCAGAAGCACAGCTCAAAAAGATTCAAGTTCATCAGCAAGCTTAAGAGGCTGGTATTTGGAAAGGAGCATCACTGTAATAGAGTCACCTCAGTTGAAAAAACTCCATGCAAGCTATATTAAAAGAATTGGCTGGAGAGCGGACCTCCCAGCCAATCCCATTTGCATTATTTGAATCCCACAAGGTTGAGATTCGAACCCGGTTGAGATTCGAACCCGGGTCAAGAGGGGACTTACGTCACTGCTGCCAACCAACTTTACCAACCCGGTGCACGCATGGATGAAATATATAAATACATTAAAATTGTGTGCTAGGTATGTAAATTTTACTTTCATTTTTTATGACCTTTTTCTCATCATTAAAAGCTGAGAAAATAGTTTGTTGAACTACATTACATATTGTTGGATTCTTTTATTGCATTTTGCTTTTGCACTCCGAAAAGCAAGGGCTTTCTTTCTTAGTAACTTAAGAGTGAACCCATCGAAAAAAGATTGTTTAGCTTATTATGACAATAGAATCCCTTAGAAAGAGATGGCTTTAAAGGTTATGATTCCCCTGCACTTTTCTAATTCATTATAACAAAATTGAACATTCAACCATTAATTTATTAAAAAATATATATTAAAACAATATTTTCACTAATAAAATTATATATATATATAATTTTATTAGTGAAAGTTTACCTGTCAGATATATAAATACATAAAAACTATGTGTTGGATATGTAAATTTCCTTTTCATTTTTTATGGCATTTTCTTCTTATTAGAAGTTGAAAAAATGATTTGTTCAACTACATTAGAGGGCAGATTAATAATTATTCATTATTGCATGCTTTTATTGCATTTTGCTTTTCCACTCCAAAAAGCCCCTGGCTTTCTTTCTTTGAACTTAAGAGTGTGCCCATCAAGGTAATCTTTTTAGTTTATTATCACAATAGATTCTCTTAGCATTTACCCACTTACCGCCCAATCCTTATGTATTTACATATTTAAAACTTAAATATTATTTTTTACATTAACACCCACCAAATCTTTCACTGTGAAGCTTGATCGGCGAATTTGGACTCCGAGTTGACAGTTGATCGGCACAATCAGGCTCCACATAATAACATCTCCCTATCATAAAATAATCATGCAAGAAATGTATGTCACATGAAGCCTTGTTTAACATACATTGATTCTATTTTGCATGTTCCGTGGCTATTTTTTGGGTTGAATTTCACTCAAGTATTACAAACATCGATTTCTTATTAATTTGCATATGCCTAATGCAGGAAGTATTATAATTATCTTTATTTACAATTCAGATATATTTTTATTATAAATGAAAATGATGTTTATATTGCACTCAGGAGAGCATAAATTTATAATACAAATCAATAATACTATATTCATAATTTTGATTAAAATCACTGATGTAGTTTTGCATCAGGACTTCAATCAGGGTCTACCACGTGCACTAACATGCCCGCTTTAGTAAAAAAAAAATTAATACTTTGGTGGGCATGCCTGTATACGTGACAGAATCTGATTATAGTCCTGAGACAACTCCTGATGCAATGTTTTTTCCACTTTTGCTCTCAATATTAATGTTAAAAAGTAACAATAATGTGGGGGTGATGGCAAAGTCAAACGTTCCTAATAGAATTATTATTAATCATTCATTATAACATATTTGTATTTTTGCGCTTTAGAATTATTCTTTAATTTAAAGTAAAGCCATTAAATAAAATGTTCCCTTCGACTATCGTTTTAATTATCTTTATTTACAATTCAGATATATTTTTATCATAAATGTAAATGATGTTTATATTGCACTTAGGAAAGCATAAATTTATTATACAAACCAATAATACTATATTCATAATTTTGATTAGAACCACACTTGTAGTTTTGCCTAAGGACTTCAATCAGGATCTATCACGTGTACCAACATGCCCGCTTTAGTAAAAAAAAAATTAATACTTGGGTGGGCATGCTTGTATATGTGACAGACCCTGATTATAGTCCTTATACAAAACTGCATTAAGGACTCCTGATGCAAAGTTTTTTCCACTTTTGCTCTCAATATTAATGTTAAAAAGTAACAATAATGTGGGGGTGATGGCAAAGTCAAACGTTCCTAATAGAATTATTATTAATCATTCATTATAACATATTTGTATTTTTGCGCTTTAGCCATTAAATAAAATGTTCCCTTCGACTATCGTTAACTTGTAATTAGAGTTCTGTAATAATGACTAAATGAATATGGTGGGCCATATCATTGATTTTAAATAACTAGATAATACTTTTAATTAAAATAAATTATGATGATAAATCAATAGAATTTTGATTTTTGGGAGTTGAGCATTACTCGTATGTTAGGGGTGCAAGTCAGTGAAGCCAACTCGTGAGTGGGCTCGAGCTCAGCTCGATGAGTGGCTCGTGAACTTAGCTCAATAAGCTAACGAGTCAAGCTCAAGCCAACCCCAACTTGACTCATTAGCTCTTGCGCTAGCTTGTTTAAAAAAAATATTAACATAAAATATGTTAAATTTCAAAACTTTATCTTTATGGTATTAGCAATGTTAATAACATAATATTTTTTATTATATATTAAGTGATTTCATATTATTTATCTGCTAATTGTTCATTCTATTTGTCAACTTATTTTAAATTAATATCATTTTCTTTCTTTTATATTACACAAGCCGGCCTGTGAGCCTGCTTGAACTCACAGGTTTAAGCTCGAGCTCGAGCTCGATAAAATTCTCAACTCGATTCCTTCACTATAAATATTGAGAGTCGTAGGATGTTAGTTTGGTTTGAAGATAAGAAAAAAAAAAAACCCTTAAAAAGTAGATCAATTTTTGGCTTAAATTAAACTTGAATCGAAGTTAGTCAGTTGACAAAGAGTCGGCAAATGAGTCAAGTCTCCACTTACTTTGCCTATTGTTTTAGTCCATTAATTTCAACTATAAGGTTCTAAGGTCAAGATTTAACACATATGAATGTGTTTGTAAGTTATTCATAGCAGAGTTATCATGATTTTTACCAGAGATATTGTGGATAACTTTCGTGATTTTAGCTTCTTCATGGAAGAGTTCTTCATATTTTGTTGGAATTGATGTTAAACATCCACAATCTATATTTATACCTATATAAAAATCATGAACATGATGATCTCATCACTTAGTATGAGATTGGTAATATTTTTTTCTTAATTTTTAAGGAATATGAATTGAAATGAGGTTGGTTTGTCTCCACCTTTCATCGAACCCCTCTCTGCAACGTGAGCCTTAATGAGGGTGGTACTCGAATTGTTAGGCACAGTAGAGCAACTCAAGGCTAGTATCATAACATCTGACCATTCCTTATGAAAAATATATATATACATATATATACTTATATTAGATATTAAATAGGAAGAAAGAGGTTTAATGTTTTAACAATTAAATAAGGATTGAATTGTTTAACATAATAGTTATTAAAATTGTTATAATATGATTTAGACAAATATAATAACAATACAACAAGAGAATTTTGATCAATTCAATGTACAACATTCCAATTCGGGATATTTTACCATTGAATATTTTAATTATAATTTTAAATTAAAAATTTTGGTACACATTATTTTATTTATTTTCTTTATTCTTAATATAAATATTTTATTTTTAATCATCCAATTAATATAAACAAATCAAAAAATATATTAATATTCTAATCAAAAGGTAAAAGTAATTTCAATCCCTAGTTGAACCGATCGGACATCATTTTTAAAATTATGATTTGTTACATTAAATAATCTACAAGCACTAAAGCTTTGACATTTTAAAGAGGCATTTATATACATATCACATAATACTTATAAATTTTCATATTATCATATCTAAATATTTATATTTATATCACTCAAATTTTAACATCACATTTTAAATATCACAATCATTATTTTTAAAGAAGCTGAGCACATATTTTTATGCATAAATCATGTAAAATACATAAAAAATATCTGGTATGAATGTAAATTTTCCTATTTTCGAAGATGGAACATATTAAAACATGTAATATAGGGGTGAATGGGGTGTTCATGAGACTCTTAAAGCCATTTTATTCCATCAATGCAGTGGTTACAAGAAAGGGAAATCAAAGACCCTTACTACGTGTAAGAGTCCTTCTATTTATAGAAGTTAAATGAATAAAAGTATAATTACATCATTGCCCTTGCTAAAGGGATGGGTGTATTGTAACTTCTTCTTGTTTTCTACCTTTCTATTTTGATCATTAGATTATCTCAATATCGGCACATAACAATTTTTTGGTGCACATATTAAGTTTTATGATTTTCTTTCTCATTAATAGCGACAACTACGATAAAAACAAGATAACTTATAAAGCAATATATATATATATATATATATATATATATATATA